GGGGGGGGGGGGGGGGGGGGGGGGGGGGGGGGGGGGGGGGGTGGGTTGGATTTCTGGCGGTGTCGCCATCCACCTTGGCGGCTTCTACACGGTAAGATGGTTCTTTCCACGTGCCCCCGCCGACACATGTGCAGGCCGTGCAGCGACGTTGGCAGTTAGGTAGGGCAAGCCATCCTGGCGGATCAGTAGAGGTATCGCTCAGCGTGGCTCACAAATGCCGCCTCTCAAAGGGAAGCCGCGCCCATGTTACCGCCTCGTAGATGCATTGGATGGCAGTGCTCGGTTCTACGGGGTGGCCAAGTCGACAGTCCGGAGCGCAGTAGATTTATTTCGTTTACTTTTTTGAATTTTTTTTTGTTGTGTATGGAGTACCGGCGGAACACAACATCCGCAGCCCGGTCTATGATCGCAGTCGATGCCACATCCGCGTTGTATGTAAGTGGTAGGCAGAGTCCGTCATTGGTGTGAGCCGCGAAAGGCTGGATAATTTGAAGAAATCGGGTATGCCATTTCAAGATTGTTCTGTATTTCAATGAATTTCATCAAAGTGTGTGTGCGTCAACGACTTCTATTTGCATGCCAAGGATTGCTTACGCACTACTGCTTTTCTTCTCTTGTGTGTGGGATTCTCATGTAATGCATGCGTTAATAGCCATCGCAGTTTCGTGCACATCTTCTTATGTATGTTGGCCCTCATGCCATCTCTCAGATCGCTGCTTCGTGAACATCGTCGGCACTTGACAGAAGCAAAGAAAAAAAATCTCAAGGGAAGATAGCGACGCAGTTGCTGAAAGGACCGAAATTTCACCACTTTAAGTTCGTTTTTTTTGTTCGGCATGTAATTCATTACTGGAACACCGAAGCATCAATGAATGATATTAGCAAATGCAGAGAAGCGCAGACGAGATGCATGACAGATGTTCCATGTAGTCGACAAAAAACGTTGGTCATCGAAGGAAAGGAAACAACCAGACGCACAAAGACGACCTTACACACACATCACAAAGAATACATTTCGTTAAACCTTAATGAAAGCACCGCTCTAACAAGCGCTCGTGTATCGCAACTAGAAATCTTAAAGCACATGCGAACTAGCCCGCAGGCGAACTAGCACCCCACCGGGCCCACTCCTCACAACCCCCCCCACTCCCACCCCCCCTCCCCCACCATCCCCCCCCCCATCGATTCCCCCTCCCCCGCCCCCGGATTCCTCGGAAACGCGGCAGGAACACAGCTGCGGTGAAACTAGTCAACAAAACAAATGTCGAGAATGCGAGGAACGACCACAGTCCTCATCATTGCGAGCATCTACCCCATAGCGCGTGGCCGAGGCGATGATCGACGAACGGGGCCAGCACACTGCCGTCAACTACAAGATCGAAGAGCGGAAAACAAACCATCCTCGACGGAAAACCCTATAATACACGGCTTAGGACGACAGAAATTAATCGCGCACAAAAGTGAACGACGCAAGCGCTCTGAAGCGACGACAGTGGAACACAACATCAAGAAAGTCTTCTACACGAGAGAGAGGCAGGCGGTATCACGGATCACACAAGTCTCATTCGCTCCGCCAGAGGGTTGAAGAGCACGAATGCCTCGTCCGTGGAAGTCGACATGGTAACTGGCTGCGAGGGACGATGAATCCCCAGATCCAGTCGGCGCCGCACCCCGTTCTCGTCGACCTCCCACAACAGATTCTCGTCAAACTCGATACCAGCATCCAGGAGAATGTTGTGGAGAATGCAGACGGCCTGAACTGCTGCGGTAGAGTGTCGAGGTTTGTCCTGTGCATCCGCAGGAACAACCTCCACATCCCCTTCAACCTCCCAAACGACCTCTCCACAGCCCCTCTTGCGACCTTCTGGTTCGTGTCGAGCCTTTCCTCGTCGGGGTGCTGATCGATTCCTCCGTACGACACCACTACCCATTCAGAAGGAGGATACCCGTTGTCGCCCAAGATGTATCCGTTTGTCCTCACCCCGCCCGGCAGCGTGACAGGTGGCCCACGAAACAGCATTCCCTCTTCCGCGCACCTCGACAGACTTGACAGCTGGAACACCCTGATGTCGTGGCAACTCCCCTGATATCCAACGCACGCGTCAAGAACGCGCAGATCCAGGTCCACCACCACCTGCGCAATGACGGAGAAACGGTGCTTGCGGTTGAAGTAGTTATCGTCGGGCGCGTTCGCCGCTTTGTCCACGTAGATGTGTGTGTAGTCAACCGCGCCCTGGCCATTGGGAAAGCCCTTCTCCAGAAATGCCCGGAGCACGACGTGTTTCCACACCCCCGTCGGCCAGGATATCTTGTCCGCGTAGACCCTCAACAGAGCGGATGTCACATCGCGCACGGCGATAAGTCTGGAAGCTCTGTCTACGCTGAAAGATGATGTGCTGTTGTCGTATGTCTCTCCTGTAGCCCACCTATACAGTGCGTAGGCGACGATCAGCTCTGGCTGAAGCAGCTCCCTGTAGAACATGACCTCTCGTTGTAAATGAGGTGCACAGGCTTCCCTGATCTCCATGAAAACTCTCCTGGACATGCGGAGCTTTTCCCGGAAGTATCCTCAGTCGCGTCATCGCACACCTGCAAATCCTCCCAAGTGCCGCCAATTCTCCACTTCATCCACCAACATGGCGTCGCCAGAGGAAGCACACCGCACCCGATTGCAGCACACAGCTGAACCACGGCCTCCGAAGTGCTAATGCAGTCCGGGGCGTCCACCACCCTCTGCACCAGAAGCCGCTGCCGCCGCCTCGAAAGCGTTACCTTCATGCGCCCTGCCGCCCTCTCAACTTGGCTGCGGATGACTACGGCGAGCGCAGCCGCCGTGACTGCTGTCTTCTCCGTCGTCGACAACACAGCACAGCCATCCCCACCACAGCCCTCCATCGCGCCCTTCCGACAGGAAAATGAACGTCCACCGCCACCCACCTGCCTTCACCTCCGCGACCGCGATCGAAGACGCCTGCAATTCACGCTCCGACACCCCTGCTGAACGATGTTCCACCCCGATAGGACTTGGAGCGTCCGCCCACCACCGCTGATGTATGGAACTGCCGCGCGCCTCCATGTGCCGAGCGTAGATGCCGATATCTCTCTTCGGTTTGCCGCGTCGACCACACTTCAGACCGTGGCCGTGCGTCGCCACTGAAGTACGCAAGGTGATGGCAACCCGAACCATGCGCTGTGTGCACTGCCCCCTCGACGACGCGCCTGTGCGCCGCCTCACCGTCGTCCCGCAACCCGCAATTTGGAATTTCGAATTTCGAACTGGGCCGTTCCCGCGTTGGCGATTTTCATTTCCAGGGCCCGTGACGTATTGCCGCTGTCCGCCTGCTGGACCACCGCACCTCCTTGCCGGACATCCCAAATCGGAGGTCGGACAATCCCCCCGCGGCCATGTATAATCTCATGAAACGGGCCGCTGGAGGGCCCGGGGGATTCGTCCTCGGAGCGATTCTCCGAGGACAGGTGGAACGACGCCTCCAAAAACCCAAAAATTCTCCAAGGATTCGTCCTCGGAGCCCAAGGACGGGCTGAGGAGTGTCTAACGACGCCCTTAGAAGAAAGAAGTCCATTTAACATACATGTATATTTTTTATGGATGTGAAAGTATGTTTAGATCGGGGTTTGAGCGTGGTGAAGCAAGATATGGATCCAAGTCCGACAGCCCCCCCCCCTTGCAACTTGAAAGAGAAAAAGTCCATTTAAGTCTGTGTGTGTACTTTCTTTACCGTTTTGGTAGTTTGTTATGCAGGCGTAGCCCGCACTGCCCGCACCGCGGGCGCTAAGCTAGTGTTTGTATTATGAGCCTGCACTGTTTGTTCCATAACCCTCTCTCAGTTCAGCGGGGCTCAGCGCCGCTGACGAGCTGGGATGTGCCCCAAGTCACTCGATACCAGAAAGCCCTCCAAGATAGTCGTGCAGGGGCACGGTTCCACTAGCACACGAGTAATTGACTACTACAACCCGGGGCCATGTCCCACTTACACCCTTGAGTTGGGTCAGCTCGAATTCAAAACAAATGCCAAAAAAACTTAAAAAGAGAAACAAATGCTGGTGAAAGCTTTTGTGCATATTTTCTGCCAAGTAAAATGGAGAAACAAATGCTGCTCAAAGCTTTTGTCCGTGTTTTCCAAGCAGCAAAAAGGAGAAACAAAATATCCCCAGTGAAACTCTCCATGGAAAACCCAAAGTCAAAGGCGGAGACTGGGACCATTTATGCCGTGAAACAAACGTGGACTCCTGCCTTGGTGCATTCAGCGCCCAAATAGAGGAAAAGAGTGTCCTCCCACGTCTGTCAACTTCTGTCAACTTCTGTCAACTTCTTTCCTCTCACGTCAGTCAGAGTATCCTCACAGGTGCATTCAGAGCCCAAATAGAGGAAAAGAGTGTCCTCCCATGTCTGTCAGCTTCTTTCCTCCCACGGCTGTCAGAGTATACTCCCACATCTGTCAGAGTGCCGCGAAAAGAAGAGGTAATGACTGCTCAATGGACTACCCCACTCCAAGTGGGGCAATAGGGTCCATGGAAAACGTACAGGGTAGGGGGTGTTCTATTCGGGCATCGAGCATTATGTACATGTTCTCGAAGTACAATTCCAATGCCAAACTTTTTTTTTTTTTTTAATTGCTCCAATCTATTTGTGGGGAGCATCACGTGCTGGGAACCGGGCCCAGCGTCCCTTATAATGGAAATACATTAATGATTGACAATTGATGAAAATTTAGGATGATTGAGGATCATTTTGGATGATTTAGGATGTCAGACTCGTGCTCCACTGAACGTACTTCGAAGAAATTCTCCGAAGTACATGAAGTATGGCAAGTACGCGTAATAATTTTTGGGGCTCCACCTACCGGCCCTTTGGGGACCATCACAAAACAGTGCCACGCAGCACTAGCAAATCGTGCTCTTCATTTCCACCAAGGCCAGAATTGTGGCCTGACGCATTTAACCATTTTTTGGGGAATTCTTGGAAATTGATACCACACGTAGTCTCAAGTTAAACCTCCAGGGACCATGTCCCACTAGCTCCGTTGAGCTAGGTCAACGTGGTGTTTTCGAGCCTGTGTGACTGTACGCGACAAGGGAGATGCACGTCATCCAATTCATCTAACGGTCCGTTTTTAATAAAAAGGGCGATAGAGACCATCTTCGCTTTTTCTTACAACAAAAAACAGAAATAAATGCTTTCTCTCGAATACTACTACCCCTACCCTCGCCACTTTCCGTTGAACTAGCTGTCTCCTTTTTTCGAGAAACAACCCTCTTGTTCCCCCAACAGGCGTTTTTCAAGAGAAACTGAACCAGCCTCCTTCCGTTTGCCATTTTTGGACGGGATTTGGTCACCTCTTCATTTTCTGCTGTGTAAGTGCCCGTATGCCACTCCAATTGTGAAAAATGAAAAACGAGAACAATTATATTCCTGCCATTTATAAATGCATTTCTCATTTGAAATTGAATAAAAATGATTTTTTTTAGCTGTAGCACCGTTGAGCTGCCTCAACTAAACGGTGCAAGTGGGACAAGGTCCCAGTGCCCCGCCCAACCGGTACAAAAATGCTGTATTTAATTGCTGTATCAAAGGGACGCTGGACCCGGTTTCCAGCAGGTGCCGCTCCCCACCAATGGATGGAGCAGCCCCAAGACAAGACCTCAATCCTGGTGGTTCTCTCACCACTGCCGGGATAGAGGCCTTGCAGAAGGGCACTAAAAAAAAAAAAAAATTCCCCGTGCACTACTCGGATGAACCGGCCTGGACTGGAGCGCCCAAATTCATTCGAGTCGATACGATTCTACTCTATATTTTCCTGCAGCCGATATTTTCCTTCAAACACCAGTACTTGGCCCTGCTATCCGCCAGGGAAAAAAATAAAGTAGAAACATTTGTAGTCAGATGAATTTGGGCGGTCCAGTAGTGGCCCGTACTGGTGGTTTCAGCATCACATTCACCAATTCAATCAAGGCTGGCTTGGAGGATGTCAAGGGGGAAAACTTGGGCGAGTCAAGTGGGATGGGGTTTGGAAGAGGACCACAAATTATTGTGCAGGGACTACTATCTTTCTTTTAAGAAACAACGGCATGTTTTGAGTTCCTGAAGGCACGGAAAACGGGCCTTCGGCGACTGTGTCAGGGCCTGAGTTCGAAAAGGCGTTCGTAACTCAGGCCGACAGTGGTGTCAGGGCGGAGGTTTCATTAAGGCGGCTGTCTTTTTTTTTGTTTGTTTGTTTGTTTTGGTCGGTTGCACTGCGCTTTGGCTGCAAGGAGGGAAAAAAAGTAAGGTTGTTGTTGCTGTTGTTGTT